TATATATATATAGCTAAATTACAAGGTGCTTTTAACAGGTTGCGTTGTTGCTATGGTAACCTACTATGCCATAAAGATCATCATTATTGGTTCACCTATGGCAGGGCGTTTATGCGACACCAATATTGTAGCATCAGTTGAAAAACAGAGGTAGAATTCATCCGTAAAAGTATAGCTGTTGGAAAATAGCTAGAAACTGTCGCCAACCTTGTTACGGACACGTGTGCATAAACGGTTGTCATATAAACATGTAAACGACGTAATTAAGTAAAGTGGTAAGGTTAAAAGTGTACGACATATTTTTTATTTCAACTTCCTAGAATCTACATGAGATGATATCATTTTTTTCTGCACTACGCTTTAGCCACCGGAAGTGCAATTTCAGTTTCTGTTTGGTCAGAAACAGTGTGAGTTGGGACCTGGGACTAGTCAGGCCGTGACGTCAAAGTAGGAACGTGGTGTCTTTGGTAAATTTTGACAATTCTAAACCAAAAATTGGGACTAGGCGAAAGTGTCTAATAACTGGTATATTTTACTTTCATCCCGTTTCTATTTCTTTGGTTCGAAAGATATGCCGACCTATTTGTCGACCTACGTTTTTGTTTTGACGTCACGGCCTGACTAGCTCCATGCCTTCACCTTGCGCGGTTTCTGACCCAAAGGCCGGAAGTGAAATTTCCCGTTTTCAGACGGCTAAAACGCGGTGAAGAAACAACGATATCTGTTATTTTTTTATTTCCACGATCTCATGAAGATGCTATCAATCAAGGAAATAAAAAATATCGGTCATAAACACTTTAAAACTGGAATCAAAACTGAACTGAAATATGAATCTGGTTAAACAAATGTTACAATGTTAAACAAAAACGTGAAGAGAATATTCTTAATTGGGATCTTTGTTCACAAACCTAAGTCTTCTAAAATTGTTTTGTTAAAGTTATAGGTTTAAGACAGCATCTGTACTGAAAGGTGCATAAACCGATTATTATGTTAACCGGAGCAAGTTAATATCAATTGATTTTAATTTACACTATAGATATTTAATTGTATAGTTTTAGTGACAATGTAATTTATTTCATCATTTATTTATTTTTTTCTTTTTAGTTCTTCACGTTCGTATTTTGATCGAGCTTACTTAGCTCTAAGGCGTAACGTGTTTAAATAGAGTGTTCATATGCATCGATTGATTGATATTAAAAGTTTTGCATCAGTGACACTTCATCTTTTAACGAGTCCGTTGTCATAGGCTGTAACCTACGTAACCGCTCTTAGAGGATATTAATCTTAAAAGGTACATCGCCGCTTCAAACGATATCAGTTATTAACGTATTCAACTTACTTAAAAAACACACACACACACACACACAAAATGAGAGTTAGACAAGTTCCAGCTATTTGCTCTAGACGTTATTTGTACGAGATCTTTGAAAAGTATCCATGTTGAAAAGTCGTTCAAACCAGCATTTTCTTGACTTAGTAGATAAGACGAGACGAGACGAGACAAGTCAGGCCAGGCCAGGCCACTGAAGGTACGCATTACAT